GTGACGGCTCTTGAATCCAGTAATACATTAAAATATCAAGGCAAACGTATTGTACCGATAGAGGAGCATACGCAATGCACGTGTGACTGCAAAATAAAGGAGACGGTAATTTGAGAACAGTCGATAATTGAGATCTTCCTTTTTAAACTGGTATAAGTCGGTTCGCAATCTGCAAATCTTAATGTATAATTTGCGATCACTCCTGTGCAGCAATGAATTTTTATTGCGATAACTTAATTAGTTTAAATCGAAAGATTTGAATTTTCAATTTTCAAAATGATTAAATTTTTAAATAGTATAACGATATTCTTTCAGGACTGTAACAAGAAACAGTCTTATGTACCGGAGGAATGTACATGTGTGTGCAACAACATCGATGAACAGAAAAAGTGTAATGAAAGCAACATGAAAATATGGCACCCAGATCATTGTAACTGTTCTTGCAGAGAACTACAGGAGTGTACAACTGGTTTTTATTTCGACCAAAATTCATGCAGGTGTGAACGGAACAACAAGGATTTGTAATACGGGAATAATATCTTTCCTTCCTTGCTGCATTTCTATTATCTTGTATATCTTGTAAGCTGTGCATGATACATCCAATCTTTTTTGGATTTTCTTTTTTTTTTTTCTTAATATTTTATTTTTCCGCTTATATCGCATAAATTAACATAGCTTATTTTCTTTATATTCACTATTGCATTAAATTTCCTTCAATAACATTTTTTTTTAAATGCTTTGCTTACTTTTATATTTTACTCGAGTGACATAATTAAAACAGTTAAAATAATGATACTTTCTCATGGATTTATGAATGCATATTCTGTGTTTATTAACAAAATATAAATTTTCCATTATGAGAATAACATATTATCTTAAACTCTGAGTATTTAAAAATATTTTAGATGCCTGCAAATATCTAGTATTTGGTTTACATCCACAAAGGATTCTGATTATAGATTCGGACAAACGCAAAGACCGGGTAATGTATCACCAATAATAATTTCTCTAGATTCAGATGATCCTAGAAGAAAACCTAAACCAGATCCAGAATAATAATTGGTATAGATTTTAAAACAATTTAATTTTTTATCTTTGTGCCATTTTGTTATACACATAAGTATTGATATTATTTATGTATTAATATTAATATTAGTTATTGCAAAAAATAAGTGAATGTATTTTTATATATCAAAAAATATTGTAATATAAGGAAATACAATTATTTAATATAAATTATTTGTATATAATTTTTTAATCCTTATTTATAAAAAGTATTTTATTAATTTTTTTTTCATTTAAAAAATATGTACAATTATTAATCTTATTCTATGTTTCTTTAAATTATTTTGTACGTTTTTGTTAAATATAAATACATTAAATATACAATTATTGATCTTATTATTAATTTTATTCTATATTTGTTTGTTTTAGATTATTTTGTATTCTCATTTAAGCTTGAATCTTGCTTTTTTTTAGCATTTTGGGAATATAAAACCACTGCTTTATTAACTCTCAAAACAGCTCTGTATCTTTCACTTATAGATGAGATTGATTCAGATATTTCCCCTAAAATATTGTACAATAAATTATATAAGTTATTATATAAATAAATGAAATAATTATTTAAAATTATATACATAACCTCACTTTTATTCTGATACATAATCAATTTAAAAAATTTAATGAAAATAAAAAGTTTGTAAAATTTGTTTAAAAAAATATTTAATAATATATGCAAATTATCAAATAAATAATTTTACTTGTAAAAAATATTTACTTACTAATACAAGATGTAATATCTGTTATAGTTGATTCTTTTGTAACTTTTTGACGTTTTATTAATTGTTCCATTGTTGTAATATAATTACAATTTATTTTGTTACGTTTTTTTTATAGTTACAGTTAAAATTAGATGCAATACAACAAACAAAAATTCTTTTTCAGGAATGTTTATAGCTAAATGGCGCGAAGAATACTAAATCAGTCGATCATATCTACTACAATAATATACACACAAAATATATGAAATATTTAAATGTTATTTGAATTTAAAATTCATTTATGGGTGTGACAAGAAACATAAAAAACTATTATAATTCGTTTTACAATAAAATTTGCAATAAAAAATATTACCTGTTTGATTATCCTTGTACAGTAAATTATAAATATAAAATTTTTCTTTATTGTCTTATATCCTAAAGATCTCGAGACAATCTTTGTACTGAATGTGACATTTAACGGATTTCTTAAAAGATTTTTGTAAAATATTTACTTCCATGTCAATATTATTTTTTGTATACAAAAAATGTTATCAACAATTGAGTTGATGCTACTGTATACTATATTTAACTGCCATCTGTTCGATAAAATTGAAACATTTTACTTTCATTCGTGTACTACAGATGTCGTCACATACACGATATAACTAAAATAATCAAATTATTTTTTTACAAAAATAAATTATTAATAAGTTAAATATCAATAACTGTTAATGACATATCGCATACATCTATTTATATTTATATTTATAATCTAAATAGTAACGGTAAATCTTTCGATTTATTTCGTTTTAATATTTGTGATATTACATACACAAAATTAACAAGAATTATCATTCTGATTTTTCAGTTATAATATTTTATTACAAATCTGTAATTTCATATACGTTTCTTTAATTGGAAATCGAATTAATGAACTTAACAAATAAGTAAGACAATTTTGTGATTAAAATTTTTTAAATTATATTGTGTATACAAATTTTACTTTTATTTTATTTTTATCTATTTTTATCGCATATAGCTTATTTACCATTTATACTTGATTATGCCAAGAAAAAAAATTCAATATACAATGTTTATTAAAATGTATTCATTCTTGGAAATTGTGTATATTTCGACAATCCAAATAAATTAAATATAATATTTACATAGTATGAAGATAAATAGATCGATCGAGGGCTAGTAAGAATTATATTTTATCAAAATCGTGGAGATCGCGCGAACAATTTAATCAGAAAGAGCGCCACAGAGAAAAGCTCCGCGGGTAATGTTGCACGTCGAGTTACATATTCACGCGTATATTGGACGAAAGGAGAAAGAACTGAACCGAGTAGACGAGGCGCCGTTTTTTTTTGCGCCACCCGTTATAATTACTGGGGCCTTGTCACTTTTGCCGAGGCGCGGACCGCAGTGAAGTATCTCGTTCGTACGTCGCCCCGTAGCATGGTCGACCTGCAAGGTTGGCGGCTACCTCAAAGCAATCGCTTCGCTTACTCAACGAGCAAGCAAAGGAAGTGCAAGAGTAAAAGAAGAAGAAAAAGATGAAAGATCAAAGACAGAAAACAAAGGCAACGGCCAACCTCCAAGTCGTTGTACGGGTGGGTGACTCGCGTCACGAAATTGTCTCAGCACGTGAATTTGCAAAGCGCGTGTAAATAATTTACGTTTTTCATTACTCTCATTAATTTACTTTGAAGAGAGAAAAATTAAAACGAATAAAAGAAATTACGATCGCACAAAGTAGATGATAAAATCACATAATAAAAGAAAATGAAGTAATACAAAATTATTATTAATATTATTAATATTACATTGATTTTAAATTAGTACAAAAGTATCTTCCGATATAATTATATAGCTAAGTGTTGAAGGACATCTACATGTTGTTCGATGCAATTTAATCGTATACGCGATGCACGAATTCAATTTTTTGTTCGCCGTTGAATGCGGCTTAATTGCATTCGGTAGCAAGAAGGATTTAAAATTCAAAGAGGAACAGTAGTGGGTCCGGAAAAAACCGGTACCTCGCCTACGTATTTTACGCCACTTTCTTGCGTGTACGCACGCGTGTATCACTGTCTCGCTTCATCGCGCTCTCTCGAGTTCTCCTCAAGGACTCTTGGGAAGGCCCATGTAGCCAGTAAGAGCTTCACGATCGTAACACGGTAGCCAACACGGTGGTAGGTTTAAATCATATTAAAGCGCATCCAAGCACCGGGAACCGTAAGCCTGGATTACTGCTACAAATCGTCCCGTACGGGGAATTCCGCGCGCCAAGTAATTCGATCGCTTTTCAAAGGTCCAGTCTAATCACATACTACCTGCTTTCGCTAATTCTAGATCTTACTTCTGCTTTTTTTTTTTTTTCTTCCAACTACATCAAAGATATTCGCCTAATGTTCCTAATGTGCCTAGTTTTCTACGTATCATATAAGCAAATAAAAATACATCTTTTTACATTTTATTCAACAACATTTTATCATCCACTTTTTCATTTACGATCATCAACACCGTTTAATAGAACTCGTCCTATTACGAAAAATATATGTGTAATCAATAGTGCGATCTTTCTATCTGTATCAACAGAACAGAACAATACGAATGGCGCATGATAAAGTGTTCTCGTGGAAAGTTACGAAACAACGTGGGCAGCGACAGTAGAAAATGGCGTGGGTCGTGACGGTCTGAGACCAGGTGGAACGTGTTTATACAAGATACGACCTGATAAGACATTACCGAAGCTCGGCAGGAAGATATACTTATGCCAGACACGAAATGACCAATGGCCAAAACCATCGACATAGATTGACATCACACGAGTTTAATTTTCTAATATCTCAAGGATAAAGGATGAATCAATAGAATTCCGTTGGAAATTGTATCGATCAATTTTTTAAAGATAAATAATTCGAATAATAATAAAATTACGACAGAGAAGGTCCAAAGAAGGTTGTCCTTGGAAAATTATCAGCTGGGTTTTAAGACCCGCATCCAATACACGGGTCACGATTTTATTGCGTCTACGAGCGTGAATAGATCTATTGAAAACCTAGGCGTTCGTAAGTAGGTGACGCGAGATTGGGCGAGCATTCGTGACGAGCCATTGTGATTAGTTCCCTTCGGGATTCGGTTCGTGACTCGTAACGAAGATGAGAGAATACACGGCTCGCTTTCGTATTAATAATTTTTTATACGTATCAATTGTGATACAAATTACACATTTTTTCTTATTTATACGCGATTATTGAAATCGTGACACGTATAGTAATCGAACGATTTGAGGAAAATACATATACGAATCGGCAGTTAAAAGAGAAAAAATCGTGGATTCGTCAGGGTAGCTTTTACTTGATCAAAACCACAGGACCATACGAATATGCCATCAATCTCCTCTTACGCAGAAATATTCCACTTTGCCACCGCCTTCTCTATCTCTTCTTTTCTCTCTTCTGTTGCTTGCCGGGGCACCAGTAGCAATATTGTATCGCATCTCTTTCTCGCTGCTTTTTGTATCTCTTTTGTGTTCCCTGATGCACGTTCAGCTCCCGTTGTACCGATTGAGTGTTGACCCCGCTGCGTCACGCTCGCATGCTGCAGTTTGTTCGGAACGATACGCAATCAGCGACAGAAGCGAATTTCGAGCGTGTCTAAGTTCATGCCACGGTTTACAACGCACAAGCGATTATTTTTCAAATAACATTTTTCGATATCTTTTTCTCGAAAAAGAAAGAGTGAAAACAGGAAAAATAAAACAAGTGATTCTCTTCGTAACGCAAGAAAGAAATCGATCGCCTCGATACGGGTCGAGGCTGAAAATGATTATTCGTTGAACAATACCAACGATAGATAACCGCTTCTGCGTACAGCATCGTATTTTTAGTCACGCGACTGCACGCTTCTTTGAGTGGTGGTTAATGCGTGCGTGCGAAGATGACCACGCGTGATGGCTTCTAACCTACACGATCCACTTTTCTTCGATCCACAGGGACGGTCAAGAGGCTTTCGTCCTCCGTCGCGATATTTCTTTAATTTTATTGGAAATTTCATTCATCATTGTCCACCTGCGTGTTATTTACGCACAGTAATCAAGTGGCAAATATCGAGTTCAAAGAATAAATTGAGTACGAAATTGGTAATGTAATTTACCTTCGAAGAATTTTTTATTTACACGCGATATGCAAGTATACTTATATGGAATTGAAAGTGGAATAAAAAAGTTGAGAGTTGATCGACATTCGTTATATATTTGTTATTATTACGCGAATCCGTTTCAAGCATGAATCATGCAAAAACAAATGTTTGAATCTTTTCGATCGAAAATAATCTTTTATCAAGGTATAAGTTTAAAAAAAAAAAAATCTGACCAAGATGATCTTTGGAATAATGTTGATCTTTTATATAACATCTAATAGAGGACATGAAATGATCGAATTATTCATATATTTGTTTGCTTACATACAAAATAAGTAACAACCGATGTTGCTTTCGAGAACTGAGTATTTATCTTTCAATACGGTAAAGTCGACGCTAATATTTCGTTTATGTTCTCTTACTTCGTACGCGAAATCCCCAGAAGGTCAAGTAATACAAAAAAGAAATATAACCTCTTTGGTTGTACGAAAATTCACAAGACGCACCAGAATATAATATTCCTAATAAAAGATTTAATTCATTTTATTCGAATTTCAAATTTTCTAAACTGCGTTCAATCCTTTTTCTAGGATATATTTTATACAATCTATGCAAGAATAGTAGTTATCATTAAAGACACGCTATAATATAGCCATTCTCTCGATCCGGGTAATGAATGGTTCCGCTTGAAGAGCCTTCAGCCGGAAAGTTATCGTTTATTGGAAGTTTCCTTGGCAATAGCGGAAGATCGGCCGCTTCTGGGTTACTTGCCAATCACGGACGACATTCGATGGAGAATTAGTGCGCTCTTGATAGTTGAAGTATCGATAGAGAAGCACGACAGTACGCGACATGTTCGACAAATGGCCCCTCGACATTCTTCCTTTTTCCATGGCGGTGCTCTTTCGTGACGCTATCTACGAGTCTATCCACCATCTTACGACTTCATTGAACCGAGTTTATATTAAAGAACCGAGTTTGTATTAAAGAACGACGTTGTTATTAAAAAACAATAAATAATTTAATTTTTTATTTCATCGTCATCGATTTTAATTCTTTCCTTGTATTCAATTATTTTATGCTGATAAAATGTTGAAACATGAAAAAAGCGAAGAATATAAATTATTGAATTTATAATATTCGTATTACATGCGAAAAATAAATTTTCATTTGTATTTATGAAATACGATACGTTTCTTTATGTCAGAGGTTCGCAATTCAAAAACATTTTTATAATTGGAATCTTCGACGAATTGCTCACGTACCTGGTAACGACGATCTCATACGCGATCGATATACACTTGAAAATCGATCCATTAAATATTTATACCGTAATGCGTATCACGATCGAGGGACAGCGTTAGAGAAAATGCAAATTATAACATTCGAATAACATTCAGTTCGTATACGAATTACTTCTATACGCTTCGTACCATCGATAAAAGCAGATCGTTCAATGAC